TGAAAAGAATCCACTTAAAGAATCTTCCAGTGGGAAAATGTTTTCCCAGACTGAGTGTCCATTCAGATAGAGAACTGGAAGCAAACTGGTATGGAAACACACCATCCCGTCCACCTTGGCTGAAAAGCAACATGCAACAAGGCAAAACGACGTGTGGTGACACAACCCAAACTCTGGGATAACAAACCTGTCCCTGGGCCCTTCCAGGAAAAAAAAAAACGAACAACAACAACAAAAAACCCAACAACCTTGAACAAACCAACCCTGAGCCGTTTCGTCACGGGCAAAGCTAACAGCAGAAGCAAACACTGAAATATTGCTGCAGCACGCAGGGCACTGAGCAAACAGAGGAGCTCTGGCTCCAAAGAGCAGGGCAGACGTGCAGGAGACCAGCATCTGGTGCAGCAGGAAGGTTCGGGTGACTGGGGGTCATGGGGCATGGAGGAAGGAGGTCATCCCGGGGCTCAGGCCACCCTTCACACTCCCACACATACAGATTTCTACAGCAGAAGTGCCAAAAGTCCATATACTATGGGGAATTTGCAAGGGAGAGGTCAGCTTCATCTAACCGTCACTTCTGCTATGCTTAATACTCACCCTGGGTCTTGCTTTAACCAAAACCCAGGCAAGTCTTACAAAGAGATAATATATTTATACTGCCTTTCAACTGTTTCTTGAATAGGATGGAGGGCCTTCAGCTATGATTTTAGGGGGGAATCTGCTGTTGGAGGGCAATTACTTAAATCTCCAAATTCTGGACCTAAAGGAAAAAGACATACAGAGCGGGCAGTATAAGTGCAGAGAGCAATAAAAGGCTCGGGAGAGACAACCTTGTCCCCAGGAAGCCCTCAGCAGGAAGAGGGGCACGGAAGGGACAGCAGGGTCAGAGGCTGGAGCCCTACCGGGGCTGTGGCGAAGGGCGGCACAGGGATTTATCCCATTCATCACTGCCTTCCTCGGCTGCTCCGGCACGCCGGCATTACGGGTTTTATTTAGGGTCACTCCAGTATCAGCAGGAAGACATAATCCTCTGATCGCCAGGCAGCTGTTACCCCCCGCCTTAGCGAGAATGATGATCTCAGGCTGAGGCTGTTGTCCTGAATCATCGTATTTCCCCCGCCATAACAGATTGCTTATGTTCAGCTCTTACGGTCCTCAAGTAATTTACCCACCAACACTACCAGGAGTTAATGAGAATGTGACCCTGCAGGGTCCTAAGCGTGGACCGTGTGGGGCCCTAAGCATGGACTTTAGAATTTGGCTCCAAAAGGGATGATTAAAACACAAACAGAGCGGTATAAAAACAGACGTGATCAAAACCCACGAGCCCTTTAGCCTAGTGAGCGGCTGTGCGAGCGAGCACGCCCAGGGAGCAGCCCCGAGCGGGGCGCCACGGCCTTTGGGCAGCGAGGACGGACGCCGCCACGTCCTCGAAAGGGTGTGTTTGCGGGCCTGCAGCGAGGGACTAGGGCTCTCAGGCATGGGGAACATCTCATGGCCATGGCCTACCGCCTAAGCCCTCCTTGTGCTGTGAAGGAGGAGGGGGAAAAAGCCTTCCAAGTCCGTCACACCGGGTAAAGAGCACGCGGGTGGACTTCAGAGGGCCTGCTGAAACCAGGGCAAAGCTGACGTCTCCCTGCGTCGTTTGGGGAGTCACTCCTAATGCTCTGCTGCCTATTTCCTTAAATATCCTCACATTGGGCCTCAAAACACATGGTTTGATACCCTTTAAAAACATCCACTCCAGAAACAACTGCTGTCTGAGCCTAGAATTTGCAGTTCTGGGTCAAGCAACACTCCTTTGTGCATTTGTCACTCTCTCAGCTTTTACAGGCCATCATCATCACCCCCTTGCTCTCTGTGTTCCAGGTACCTTTCATCCAGAGCAATAAAGGCCACATATCCCTCACCTGCCCTGTCCTAGTTGGCAGGAGAACCCTAAAGCCTCTAGACTAGCAGGTGGCTATCCCAGCAAATTCACGTCTTATCAAGCCTGCCAGGGCTTAACATACCCGTGCTCTTAACTCCGTGTCACTCTCCCGTGAGCTCTAAGGATTGTCCTAAAGGCAGAAATCACGAGCTGGTGTTTCCAAGGGCACAGTATGCTCCACGATACCCTATCAGAACAGCAAATATTTCCACTGAAATGCTGACTAGGCATTGTAATTAGTCAATTTGAAGAACAAAAATAAGGGGAGGTGATGACAGGTCAGCACTATTTAGAGCTGTCGCAGATACAAACCAGGAAGTTTCTTGAGAGGGGAGAAAAGAATTTCAACAGTAATTTGAAGTTCTGCTGTTTTTAAGCCTTTTCATGGCCTGTCGTTCTTCTCTTCTTCTTTTCACAAGCACACTTCCTAACCTCTCCCCCTCAAAAAAGTCACTCAGGTGAAACTACACAGGAAGGTGGGACCATGTGCTTCCTTGCAAACTGCAGTGGTGGCCCCTTGCTCCAGTGTCACGTAAACCAGTGCAGGCAGCTGCTCTCATGAAATGGGCTTCAGGTTCGCTGGTTGTCAAATGACAATCAAGCCCATTGCTCGAACTCTTCCCTTGGAGGTTTTAACTGCTTCCCAAAATCTGCTGTGCCTGCAGCCCTATGTCACAGGCACTCTCAGGATTTCTCCACAGTCATTGCACCACCTTCTGCCCTAAGGATAGCAGGGACAAGGGCACACACACCATCTCTGTGCCTTCAGCAGATGGGCATTTAGCCCTGGCCACTGTCTGCCCCTCAAGGCACAAGTGGAGATGGAGGGACACAATTCAAAATATCTGACATTCTTGTTTCATTTATTTCCAATAGAACTTGGACTAGGAAGGCAGGAAACAAAATTAAAGACCACTGATTATTCCTCCATCATCTGGTTGACAGGGGTGAGCCTGAACACAAAGTGTGCAGGGTAAGTTAAAAAGGGCTGAGCATAGGTGGCACATATATATTTCATCTATAGTTCTTCCGATACTTGCCCTATCTGCTGGCAAAGTTCTGTTTCCTTCATATCATTTATGTACCTAACAGTTAAAAATAAAGCAGGCACATTCAACCAGAACACTCAGAACACTGATTCAAGAAAGCAGACAGATATCTATAACGTTCCTTTTATTTTTCAGATTAATTCAGAACCAATTTTTCAGATTGTTTTTTCTCTGAGAATCCCTCCATATTCAAAGGAGCTTGTAAGATTGGAGGATTTCTTCTCTAAACACTAGTCCTGATGCAAGTAAATACTAAGGAGACAAGATAATAGCCTTGCAAAACACAAGCCCTAGATCTTGTTTTTCAGAGTGCATACACATTTAAGTGGAATGTTAACACAAAGCCAAATTTTAATATGCTCCCACATAATGAGCAGCACTATTAAAGCCTATGGGATTACTCCTGCAATACAATGCTTTACAAAAGGGTTAAGGATATACAGCCTTTGGAAGTAACCAAGGAGAGTGCAAACAAGCTTTTTCTATTGCGGATCTATTAGTTAGCTATAATGACTGCTTTAATGTGTCTGGCTGCACCTGGCCTCACTGGTACAGTAGCACAGAACTGGTTCAAGTAGTGTCAAAAATGGGAGAATTTAATTAGAATACTCCAGCGAATTTAGTGTTTGCAGAATATCCAAACATTTAGTTTTGTTCTAAAGCCCAAGATTTCAGCCAGGATTCACCTGCTCTTGCTACAGAAGCCTCTTGCTCCGAGGAAGCCTGTTCCCATAGGAACACAGTCATACTGGCATAATGGAGATGGCTTAAACGTTTCCAAAAACAGCCAGCAGAATAATTCTGTTAAATTTTCTTTGTACTGCTTTCGTTTCAGGGCATGATTAATCTCCCAATTTATCTAGCTGGAATTATGTCCCCACAGGTATATATAAAAATATACTAATACATTTATGTGTGTATATATATATATATATGTACACACACACATATACAGTGCTTTATATGTATATGTGTGTACATATATATATGTGTATATATATGGTCAAAATCTCCTTAATCCCTTACAAGGTATATCTAAATGTTTCCTTTGCTCCTCAAGAGGCTGACACAAAGAACAGCCACCTCCATAGACACTGCAGTAGACTAAACTACTACTAGAACTAAATGATTCATTTCAACACTGGAAGAAGGAATTATCAGTCAAGCTTACAACCAGAAAGTCATGCACATGTCCCAAATTATGTACAAAACAGCATGTTAGGAGAGCTATTCTCTTCTGTTACATTAGCATTTCTTTGGCTCATTCAGTTTTATTTTCTGGGCTTTACCTAAGTTTTATTTTGCAATAAATGTTACAATGGATTTGGATTTAGTGGACCTTTTCCAGCATTTATTTCATCACAACTTAATGGATTTCTCCTTTTCTTGGGGCTGCAGGGGGCTTGAATTTTCACCTTTCAATTTGAATGCAGCCTGTCTTTTACTTTCTTCTGCACTTCATTTACTTAAACAACCTCACTGATCTCAGTAGGACCACTATTAAACCGAGGTACTATTCCATTTGAGTACAGAGAGTAGAACGCTTTGCATCCGTCCATCCTGTTGGGAAACCATTTCCATTTATTTAATTTCCATTACTGTCTAAAGCAATTTTTTTTTTTTTTTTTTTTTTTTTTTTTTTTTTTGGCGCCTAATCGTTCTGAGGAGAAAAGCATCCCATTTGAAGCTTTCGAAATATGTTTATACAGCAAGTGGCAGCTGTGTGGGGTAGGGTGCTGGGTTTGTTTTGTTTCTGCAAATCCCCTGGACCCTGTTGCCTTTGGGGGTGTCACCAGTAAAGGAGGGACAGACGTGCTACAAGCTGGCACCGCTCCACATTGTTCAATCCAATCACAACAGGGGTTGAAGCTGTTGCATCTCAAGGGCAGGAGGATATTTTATTTCTTCTTTTTAGCTGTCCGGTTTTGGTCAATCTGTAATGAGTTCTAGGCACTGATGAACTGCTGGAATTAAAAGGGCTCTCAAAGTTTTCCCAAAATTTTGGAATGTACCCAGCGCAGCGTTCATAAGCTATCGCATGACATACGGACAGAAAAATGCCATTGAGCTGCATGTGAAACCTCAATTCACTCCGCCAAAAGTTTTTCCATTTGCCTTCTTCATTCCCGTTGGAGTCACACTCCCTGAATTTAATATTTTCAAAAGGAGAAAAAAAAATTCCTTTGAACTTTATTTTCTTGGATATTAAGCACTTCCAGTCAAGCAGAGCTCCGATGAGTCTCTGAAGTGAAACACTCCACCAGCAAGTCCCTCCGGGAACAACTTCAGATGCTATTTATTTAATGTTTTTACTCTCATTGAAGACTGTGTCACAGAAGTCGTCAACAGCGTTTTCAGTCCAACAGAGCTCCTCAGTATGACTGTCCTGTGAGCCGGAGCATTTTCCTTCCCCAGACAGCCAACATACTTACAGACTTGCTCACATGAATGTTTCAGAAGTCTGCAGTATATTTTAAAATTAACCTGAGATTATTAAAAATGAACACCCGCCATGACAGTGATGAATGTTTTTCCAGGCTTTTCTCTGAAATCCTAATATCCAAGTGTTTCTACACTTGATTCCAATCATCTCCAAATGGTAAAGAATGGGATAAATTGCAGCTGCCCTTTCATGAAGATCTGAAAAGCTGTTTTTAAAGATCTGTCCTGTGGTCCCATCCTACTGCAGCTACAAGTTGCTCTTTTTCTTAATGCCACTTATTAAGGGGATCGCCAAGAAGGCAGGGCACGTGCCCATTCCTCTTTTGAGTAAAACTAGTCTGTTTCGAACCTCACACTTACATTAACTTATTAAGATGCTACCAAAAGGAATCTGACTTCAGAGAGGAAAAACTGCAGCAAGACAAGGACGGACATGTCAGGGAGAAGCTGTTTTCTGTGCAAGTGTCCACAGCTTTTGTTTTCCAAGGGAGGGAGGAGCGACGTGGCCCTGTTCCCATTTAATCACTCAAACAGGAGCCAGGAACTGCTCATTCCAGTTACAGCGCTGACATGGCCACCGTCCTTGTTCTGCCTCTTTATCCGGCAAGCTCAGTGCATCACGAGACCACGTTCTTGCAGGACCTGGTGAAAAAGAGCTCCCGTTTTATTGTGGGCCCATAAGGGACCCACGAGTATCTACAACAAACAAACAAAGAACCCCCCTCGGATGACTCCCTCAGTGCACTGAGTTTGAAAGTTGGGGAATCAGGCAGCTAGGAAGGAGGAAAAGCAACAGGTGGGGTGGGAGAATTGAGGTTGAATGTGCAACCCTCCCAACTACTCCTTGTTGAATGAAACCAGAGTAAGGATGTTGGGAACACCCTCCTGGTGCTCCTGTGCATCTGGGGGGCTGCGCATACTCCTCCTCTTCACAAAATGCAGCTGGCCAAATTGCTCCATGGGGGCATCCGTCACCGCTGGCAGTTCTAGCTGCAGGTGCAGGTCTCGAGCGAGCACATGCAGGCTGTTGATTCAAAGCCTTAAAACTGCACAGAGGTGGCTGGATTGTGACAGGGAGGGCATCCCCACCTCTTCCCTCAGCCCCATTCCCAACACAGAAGCTGACTGCCTAAATTGTTTTAGTGAGGGGGTGCTAGGATATTTCAAAGGCAAGGTCACAAGAGCTTCTGATGGGGGCAAATAAGCGTGTTTGACTTGCTCTTGGATCCTGCATAACCATTTTGACCAAAGTTTGCCAAAAGCTTTGACCTGAGGAGGATCTAGCATGGAAAATACTAGGGTTTTACGATGAAAAATGTTACGTAATCTTAGTAACAGGCTGTTGTTTTAGCTTCTTAAACAGACTTCCCTGGTTTCACGAAGAAGGAAACACCTTTCAAACTGGGCCTACTGCCCATATATACAGCAGGCTAGTACTCTATATATGATGAGAATGATCCCATGAACCTTTCAAAACATAGTACAACAGGGAACACAGAACACAATACATGTATGTCCTAGCTCCAATGATAACGCTGGGCAAGCACTAACCTCTCCCAGGCTCCCATTGCCCTCTCCATTCCTCCACACCCAACGGAGATGCTATGGGGGTCAATCAGCACCACTTAGTACTGAAGCCAAATAACCACAAGACGGGACAAAAAATCACTGCCACAGAAAACGCTGCACGTGGTGGTGGCCACCCCACCTCACTCCCACCCAGAGCAGACCTCAGCCCCGCTAAGCTGATAGGGGAATTTGCTCAAGGCAGCCTGGCTGCTGTTTGCACACACCCTGTGTGTACAAGGAAGCAACGCAAGGAGAAGCTCCTTCATGAAGAGTTAAGCCTGTCCCATATCCAGGGAACTTTGTTTTCCAGACAACGTGACAGGTATGCTGCCAGCTTTTATATTCCAGTTATCAAAGAAGGTCCTCCAAAACTAAAATGCTCAGATTCCTGAAGAGCTCTCAGTGGGAAGCAAGTACTTAGCATTTCTGAGAATCCAGTTCTTTCATATGAAATTCAAAACAGACTTTAAGGTTAGGGCCTGGCACCAAAACCAGCCTTAATATCCAGATGCAGCATTAGTCTTTTATAAAGAATGTGTAATGTCTTTAAGCAGTTTCCATTCCTAACTATGGCTACGTACGGAAATGTGTTTAACTTCTTGGGGCTTTTTTTTTTCTGCCAGACACTTCTTCTAAACAGAACGATTATTAAATTCATATTCCAAGCCTTTCTATAATATTACAACCACTTTTCTCTTTTGAAGTGCAATCCTGTTCTCAAAACGGACTCCGGGAAGGAAGGGAGAAGCACTGTGAGACTGCACACGTGTCGTGTCTCCAAAGCCTCGCACCTTGCTGGAAGCACCCCTGGGGGCTCCACAAAATCTGCCTGATTGCTGGGGCCAGGAGCTGCTGTCAGTGATCACTGTGCCTGTCAGCAACCAGAGGAGCGCACAAGTGCTGGCTCCGGACTGCCTTTGCTTAGCATCATCGCCTGGCCGACTCTACCTGTTAGAAACCAACCTTGATGAAGGTACAAAAGAGAAGTGCATTTGCTTTCTTCCCTTCCACTAGCTGCCTTGCTCTGACAAGGTCTGACAAGCGCCGATGGCACCGAGAGGCCTGTTTCTGGCACCGAGAAGCTTGTTTTTGACACCACCGCGCACAGCCGCTATGCCGGGCGTGCTCGAGGAGCAGCCTGTTGACTCATGTGGGTGATCCAGGACGGGTTATTCCTGCAGCGTTAGCTCCCAGTGTAACTCAGACGCTGCCTCTAAACCTCGGTAAGCGCTTCAGCTCGCCGCCCGGGTGGTTGTTTCACCGCATGAGGTATCCAGGCGCTCGGGGGCAGCAGCTCTGCCCTCACACTGCTCACTTCAAACCACGAAACCAGGAGGCCTCCAAGCCCCGTTAACCTCCCTATGAAGGCAGGTTCACCCAGGCACTTGTGCGACCAGAGACCATCTCGATTCCCAGAAGAGACCTCAGCGGAGAAATTGCTGAGCTTTCAATTTCACACGGACTCCCTCCACCCTCTCCTCACATCCAGCCTCTCCAAAGCCTGTGTTAACTGTCCCCCAAACGCCACGTGCTGCCAAACACCCACGGCTGATTAGCCTCTCTCCCAGCTCTTGGTGCGCCGGGCAGAAGAGCTGTCCTGCTCTACCACTCCTATGAGCACTTGTCATCCAGCTGCTTACATAAGCCCGTGACCTCTGAAATAAAAACATTTGTTTGAAGTTGGGTAGAGCTGGCTGGTTGGAAGGGGAATTGGAGAGCAAAATGATTTAAAAAACAGGCACAGAAGCAAATTTCCAGAATATGTCCTTTTGGTTTTCCTTTCAAGTTTGCTATTTCCTCTAGTCAACCACCAGCTCCCCATCAAAGAAAAAGCCTCTAACAGCACAGTCGTTTTGTTTAATATTTCCAAATAACCTCCATGAAACAAGGCTACCATAGCTCATGCAATCATCTATAGCTTTACTAAGCACAGATCATAATGATGTAAGTAACAGGAAAAAAAAAAAAACAAATTAGTAGCCAGCTCTCCAGTTCTGCACTTATTTAAGCCTTTGAAAAGCGGTGTTAGGCATCGCAGGTTGCAAATATTTATTTAAAATTTGCTACTAGATGCATAAATAATAAGCCCAAAGAACCTGGTATTCCTATCATGCCAATTCTTAGCACTGTAGCGCCTTACTGGTTATTAAAAATAGCTTCATTTTAATCTGTAAAGGTCACGCTTTTCTTGCTTTGTGTTGCTTTCTCAAGCAAATTTACCCTCGTGGGCAGCGGGAGGAGCGTTTTTAACCCCTCTTCACAACGGTGGTTGGAAAAGGCACTTCACAGAGCTGCAGCACCCCTGAAGGGTTAGCATTGACTGTGCACCTTAAAGTCTGCTGGGGTGAGCTGAAAGGTACCTGGGGTACCTTTCAGAAGAGCTCATTCCAGAAAGAGCTCCTGTCACAGCCTGATGCCAACTCCTGGCAGAGGTCGTGGCTCCAGAACCAGCTCATGCCTACGGCAGTGCAATGCACCCCCTCACACGGGCAGCTTTGTGAAGGGCAGGAACACTGCTACACTTCAAAAAAAATGACCCCAGATTAGACTAACCTTGTGAAGCCCCACTTGGAGTGAGGGGCTCTTTCTCATGCCTGTCTCCTGGGAAAGGCTGGACTTGGGAAATATTCCCCAGGACTCAGTTGCCACAGCAAGTGTTGGAGCTCTGGAGAAAAACACGCACTATGGCTGCTTCCTTCCAGAAATGGAAGGAGAAAGGAAAGCAGAAAGGAGATAAAAAATCACACCGTGCATCCTGCTCACCTGTAATGTGGCAGACCTAAGTTTCGTGACCTAGCCACCACATGGGAGCAACCTTGAGCCAGGGCTGATCACCCAGGGTCACTCTCATCCTCAGGCTTCTCAGAGCAGTGACACTTCTCTGAGGCCCAGGAGAATTCCAAAGAGTCCCAAACTGGCTTCAAAGTGGGACCATCTTGAAAGGAGCGCTAGGAGTCATAAGCGTCCCTGCTTATCCATGGCCACAAGGGTGGCTCCGTGCACAAGGGTGTCCAGAGCTGGTCATGCAGCAGTTTCAAGGACATGGTGCCACCACTGGAGTATAGATTTCTCCATACTGGAGTAATGAAGTACGGATCACTCCTAGCAAGCAGCAGGTGCCGATTTGACCCCTGTCTGGTGAGGTGGCTCTAGCACTCGGGTCTACCCACTTCCACCCAGAAGGATCCATCCCTGATGCACCAGGGCCGGTTATTAAGCGGGAATCAACTGAATCGTCAAGAGGGCAGGGAGCAGTGGGAATTCCCCTAAAAAGAAGCACTGAGAAGGGTTTGTGATGTGAAAGGCAGCCCTTGTGGGCACCATTTCCCCTTCACTTGCTCAGCACTTCCTGCCCGGCTGGCCGGCCGGTGTCTTCCTTATGTAAGGAGCTGCTGAGGTTACTGCCTCAGGGCTGCTGGATCCCCCGCCCAGGACTGGCTCCCGAAAGCCAAGGTTTGTAGCCCTCAGTGCAGCAAAGACCAGACTTCCGCAAATAACCCCCAAATAACCACAGAGCCCCATGCCAGAGTTCCTGGATGCTTAACAGCTCCGCTTGGCGAGGAATGCAACAGCAGGATTCGGCTTCCCCATCCAACCACACAAGCTGTTTTGCTTATCAGACGCCTGAATTTGGCTACAACTGCACAAGAGGAGTGCCTGACAGGGATGCAAAAACACGACAAATTCCGTGACAGCTTGGAAAAGCCGCTAGTCACCAGGCAGGCGCAACCACGAAGCCCTAAAAAGACGGCGGCAAAGCAACGCGGGCCCTGGATAAGCTCCAGGCGGGCAGCGCGGCGCTCGCTCCGGCGCCCGGTGCGCGCCCTTACATAAGGCGCCGGGCCGGGCCGGGCCGGGCTCGCGCTGCAGGTGCGGCCCGATGCGGTGCTCGGGGGGGGTCGCGGCTGTCACCGGGCACGGGCCGCTCCGTGCGGGCCGCC